AAACATTTCAATCTCTAATTCAACTGTTATACCAAAAGAAAGAAGATAATTTTGGTCACTCACCATTTTCTTTTTCAATGCTTTGATAATATCTTGTTGGTTCCAAAGCCTCAAGTAATGGTCTTGTGAAGCCAGGTTCTTCCCTAGCCTATACAACAAACCATTCATTTCTACTCGGCCGCCTGATATTTCAATCAAGAACTTGTCAGAAAGATCTTTGATGATGCTCCTATCATCAGCGGCACATGGTGAGTCCACCATTGATTTCACAAACTCGTGATCCAGTGATCTGAAGAAACATGTGATATCAAGAAATGCCTCTTGTTGCAGCTCAGTAAGACCATCATAACTCGAGTTCAAGAGATCTTGAATGTTCTTGTTGGGACTCTTTTCGATTGTGAAGATTATGGATTCCCATTCACCCTCGTCTCTTCCCCGAAGCTCCTTCCCGAGTAAAGTGAGAGCTGACGGGTTTCCTCTAGCGTAATCTACAAACTTTCTTGATAATGTCAGCAAGTTTCCTTCCTCTGAGGCACAACGTGTGGCGTCTCCAAAAGCGTGATGACTCAAGCACTCTAACCCTTCCTTCTCGTTCAAACCTGGGACCACATAAGTATCATCCACGAGTCCCTCGACTAGTGACTTGTCGCTTGTCACGATAACAATCTTGCTCCCTGGTGTGATCCATCCGCTGTCTCCTAAAAGATGCACTATCTCTTCCTTGCCACTAAAGTCGTCCAAGATAAGAAAACATTTGGTTTCAAGTAAGTGTTCCTTCACATCTTCGTGTGTAGTCTTACCAGTTATCGTCAAATTCGCCGTCTTCTTCAAGATAGTTTGCAAGAAGAGCTTTAATAGCAAGTCGAGCTTCTTGTCATTCTCCATTCTCTTACGGATTTCGTTTTTGAAGAAAATGGGTCTCTCGAACTCACCTTTAAACTCCGCGAATAACATCTCTGCGAGTTTGGTTTTCCCGATACCCTTCATCCCAACAACTCCAACCACGCGAGTCTCCTCGTACCGATCCATTTTTAACTTGTCCTGTAATTGCTGCACACGTTGCTTGATCCCAAAGAAAGGCAAAGTACTAGTAGTAATCTCATGCTTCTTTCCTTCTCCTTTCTTCTCCCTCTCCTTGGTTTCCAGTATGGTCAACGTTTTCTTCACTTCCTTAACGATCTCATCAACGAAATCCGACTCTTTAGTACTGCAAGAAAAGGGAACTCGATCGTTGTAATCTCAAACATTTTCAATTGATTGATAGTCAAATCTTTGTGTGTTCATGGATATTATCTTACTCTGGAACATAAACCAAGCCGAGATACTCGGTAACATTCGTAAGAGTACTCCATTTATCGCTCTCTCCTTCTTGGACCACACTCCAGTTCTTCTCTACTTGTTCAACGCTTACTTTGTAGAAGATAGGGATGATTGTTTTGCCTGGTCCTCGCGTAGCTATAGCCTTTAGCACCTCCTCGGTGCACCATTTCGAGTCCATGAAATTCTCGGAGAATATCACAAGCACGACCCTCGATTCTTGGATCCTTTGTAAGAAAACGCTAGTAACTTCTCCTCTCATCTCTTCGTAATCCACATAGTAATTTACGGATATCCTTTTTAGCGCGGCTACGAGGAAGCTTAGAAAGCTACATCGCACATCTTTTCCTCTGAAACAGAGGAAAAGTTGGTAATTCACTTCAGCCATGCCAAATTGAAATGTTAACTACTGCTCCAAAAGTTGAAAGAATGATGATTTTGGAAATGTTTTTTTTTTCGGTTCTCACCCAAATGTTGAAAGTTCTGAGGAATATTCCTATGAAACAAGAGAAAACATGTGAAACGAAGGTCTAAAAGACTCTATAAAAGTCTAAACAAGATTTTCTCCACAC